TTTGACTTTTGGTTCAATGAACAGTGGCATGCTTGTAAACAATTTTAAAATGTGGCATTTTTGTAAAGTGACATATGAGATGTGGCAGTTTTTAAAATTTCTCAAATTTTAAATCTAAAAGATTATAAAACTCATAAAATGACTTTAAATCATTGAACCAAAAACAATTTCTTTTATTAAATAATTTAAAATAGTTGAAAAAAAAATTAAAAGGTGAATTTTTTTTTTATAATTTGCCTAGACTTATCGTGTAGGGCTGTAATTATTATCCAGGATCCGTTCGGATCCGATCCGAAAAATAGGATATCTGGACAAGCCGGATCCGGATAAGGATAGTAAAATCTAGTATCCGGCGGATCCGGATCCGGATCTGAATAACAGATATATTTTCTGTTTCAGATTATGAGGAAAGAATATGAAGGTTAATGATATATGTACCTCAAGAACATCGCTTGAATCTTTTGGATCTTTTGCTACTAAATCAAACTTATCTATCTATGTTGATGTAATAAACAATGTTTAAATGTTGTCTTGTGTTCGGATTATCATATTTTGTGTAAAAATTAGGTATTTAAAATTTTGTTATCTTATAACCCGGATCCGGATATCCACCGAATATCCGATTTTTTCACGGATATACATAACCCGGATATCCGGGGTCTTCGGATCCGCATGGTAAAATTACGGATCCGGCAGATCCGGATACCTTGAATTTTCCGGATATCCTGATCCGACCCAGGCCTATTATCGTGTACTTGACTATTGCGGTTCATACTTCTTTTCTTTTTTCAGATTTAGATATTATTGTAGATTTGGTTTTTCGAAGCCTGATAGTGTAGATTTTGGTGGTTATTAAGAAGTCTACTTATAGATAGAAAAAAAGAGAGAGAAGAGACGAAAGACAAACCCGCCTTCTTGCAACTCCATGCCGCTCTTTCTCACAATAGAAGCTATAGCTTTCTCCCATTTCTCGGTAGCTGGATCGTGTCGATTGTCGTACTTTAGAGTCTTGAAAGCAATGCCAAAATCTCCTTCAAGACCTTTGACAACTGAGGGTTCTATCCTGTAGAAGACTGGAATTGCCATAAGAGTGCCTGTATCCACACAATCGTTGATTCTGACCAGCTCTTTCAAGCACCAAACTGAATTCGTGTAATTCTTCGAGAAGATAACTATCGCAACCGTTGACTCTTTAATCTTCACCAATAGATCCTCTAGATCCGTTCCTCTTACCGCGTCGTTGTCTGTAAAGACGTTGATTTTTTCTTTTTTCATTTCATCTGCGAGAGAGTCGACGAAATCATTGCGCACATCATTTCCTCGGAAATTGATGAACACTTGAGGTTGTGTCACATCGAG